CACACGCGAAAGGTCCCCGGTTCGAAACCGGGCGGAAACAGTCTTCTCTGCTCTTTAATCTGAGTATTGGAATCAAACTCTACTCAGTATCAAAATCAGACTATACTCCGTCAAATAAGCAGACGGACGCTAAAAGGGGCAAAGTCAAGGTCACCATACCCTCAGCATGACGCAAGCGCACGCTTCCTGCACCTGTGCTGCTTTGCGTTTTTTTTCGCTATAAGATCGGCAGGCGGTAGAAAAGTAATCTCTCCCCGTCAGGGAATCGAACCCCGGTCTTCCACGTGACAGGCGGAGATACTGTCCACTATACTAACGGGGACTGGCGCGTTGCCAGGTTTGGCGTGTCGACGCAGTGGTGGCCCTGTTCCCGGCGTTTGCAGGGAAGAGGCATACAGGGAGGCATTGAAGCTGAAGGACGGTGACACGTTTTTGCTGATTTTCAGCTGGCGTTCTCAGCTCTCACTAGAGGTGCGCTCTTCCTGAAATCCCCAACCATCTCCACTGTCTTTCGAGCGTGGAGCTCCAAGTTGTTCTGTCCGCAGCCGGTCACCAGATGGTCAAGCTCCCACCTGTAGGCGGCCTCATCCCCACCACAGGTGAGCCCAATGAGGGTGGTGTCGTCCGCAAACTTCAGACAATTGGGCGGATTGATGACTGGAGGTGGCAGCTGTTGGTGTACTGGCAGAGGAGCGGAGGGGAAAGGACGCAGCCTCGAGGGAAAGCGCTAATGACGGATGGAGTCTAGGAGGATGGTGTAAGAACTGTCGCTTTGTCTTTCAAATCCACAGCAGAACTCATTCAGGTCGTTTGCCTGGCGCAAGTCGTTAGCGGGTTGGGTTTTTTTTTAGGTTTGCACTCGGTGATCCGTCTGAGACCTCTCCAGACATGTTCTCCTCTCTGGTCGGGCATTTCACAAGCCGTCTGTGTTTGGGGACTTCATGGATTGGGTTACCTTTGTCAAAGTCGCAGAGGACGATGACTGCCGAGTCCGGGTTTCTCCGCTCCGTAGACAATATCTTCTAGACAAGCTTGCGCTGTGCATCCTGCACGTTGGGCTGCGGTGGAACGTATGCACAGACCAGCACAAAGGACGCAAACTCACGGGGGAAGTAGAGAGCTTCGATCCAGCCACTTCAGCAACCAGTGATGGGTTGCTGCTATCGATGGGTAGAAAGTCTTAACAAAAAACACACCCTTACCCTGTAAAATTAACAGGTTTTCTGGCGTTAGAAAGGTTTTCAGTTCAGTGTACAGTTGATTTTAACTGTGCACGTGCACATGCACGGGCCAGAGCTGCCAGTGGTTCCCGTAGTTTAGTGGTGATCACGTTCGCCTAACACAGCATTTACTGTCACTCAAATCCATGAAAGGGGAACTTTTTTCTGAATCCAGTTGAAAATGTCTCATCCCATCTCTCCAGGTCAAAAACGAACACATCGTCCAGAATTTGAAAAGCTTGCATATGAGCAGGCTGGTGCTTCGGCGCGCGAGTCTGCGTGAGAGCTGCCTTTGCCCGTTTCCGTAGTGTAGTGGTCATCACGTTCACCTAACACGCGAAAGGTCCCTGGTTCGAAACCGGGCAGAAACTGCCACCTTTATTGGTGTTTACACTGAATCAAAAAGCCAACTTCTAAGTAAACCAGGCAAAAATGAAACTGTACGAAATGCTAGAAAACAACAGGAGGAAAAGTAGAGCCCTGTGCCCGCTATAAAATTAAGCTTGACAATTGAGACTACAGGCAGGGACTGGCCGCTTCTCCCCTACAGTGAGGCCTTTAGTCACTCTTCCTAGCTCTACTTCACTTTGACTTGGAGCACATTGCCTGTTTCTGCTTCGAAGATGTTCTTTCTTTTTTCCTTCTGCTCACCTGCTGAAGGCTTCTTTGTTGTTGCTGCTGTTGCTTTCACTCTGGTAAAGGCAGGGCTGGAACCAAGCTAGAGTCAACCTTTCTCGACAAACGGCTAGCTTGACCATCGAGGACTGTTTCTAATATAATAGTCATTCATGGTTCCTGTGCCTACAGGATTTACTGTCACTCAAATCCATTAAACGGGAACTTTTTGCTTAATCCAGTTTAAAATGTCTCATCCCATCTCTCCAGGTCAAAAACGAACCCGTTGTCCAGAATTTGAAAAGCTTGCATTTGAGCAGGCTGGTGAATCGACGCAGGCGTCTACGCGAGAGCTGCTTTTGCTCGTTTCCGTAGTGTAGTGGTTATCACATTCGCTTCACACGCGAAAGGTCAAAAACGAACACATCATCCAGAATTTGAAAAGCTTGCATATGAGCAGGCTGGTGCGTCGGCGCGCCAGTCTGCGCGAGAGCTGCCTTTGCCCGTTTCCGTAGTGTAGTGGTTATCACGTTCGCTTCACACGCGAAAGGTCCCCGGTTCGAAACCGGGCGGAAACAGTCTTCTCTGCTCTTTAATCTGAGTATTGGAATCAAACTCTACTCAGTATCAAAATCAGACTATACTCCGTCAAATAAGCAGACGGACGCTAAAAGGGGCAAAGTCAAGGTCACCATACCCTCAGCATGACGCAAGCGCACGCTTCCTGCACCTGTGCTGCTTTGCGTTTTTTTCGCTATAAGATCGGCAGGCGGTAGAAAAGTAATCTCTCCCCGTCAGGGAATCGAACCCCGGTCTTCCGCGTGACAGGCGGAGATACTGTCCACTATACTAACGAGGACTGGCGCGTTGCCAGGTTTGGCGTGTCGACCCAGTGGTGGCCCTGTTCCCGGCGTTTGCAGGGAAGAGGCATACAGGGAGGCATTGAAGCTGAAGGACGGTGACACGTTTTTGCTGATTTTCAGCTGGCGTTCTCAGCTCTCACTAGAGGTGCGCTCTTCCTGAAATCCCCAACCATCTCCACTGTCTTTCGAGCGTGGAGCTCCAAGTTGTTCTGTCTGCAGCCGGTCACCAGATGGTCAAGCTCCCACCTGTAGGCGGCCTCATCCCCACCACAGGTGAGCCCAATGAGGGTGGTGTCGTCCGCAAACTTCAGACAATTGGGCGGATTGATGACTGGAGGTGGCAGCTGTTGGTGTACTGGCAGAGGAGCGGAGGGGAAAGGACGGAGCCTTGGAGGGGAAGAACTGTCGTGCTTTCAAATAACAACTTGCGCTAATGTAGCGGATGGAGTTTACTCTTCTCTGAGGACGCTAACATGTTTTTGTGGATTAAGCCTGTGTTGGGGACTTCCTGGAGTCCTTTTAAATCCAAGGACGATGACTGCCGAGTCCGGGTTTCTCCGCTCCGTAGACAATATCTTCTAGACAAGCTTGCGCTGTGCATCCTGCACGTTGGGCTGCGGTGGAACGTATGCACAGACCAGCACAAAGGACGCAAACTCACAGGGGAAGTAGAGAGCTTCGATCCAGCCACTTCAGCAACCAGTGATGGGTTGCTGCTATCGATGGGTAGAAAGTCTTAACAAAAAACACACCCTTACCCTGTAAAATTAACAGGTTTTCTGGCGTTAGAAAGGTTTTCAGTTCATTGTACAGTTGATTTTAACTGCGCACGTGCACATGCACGGGCCAGAGCTGCCAGTGGTTCCCGTAGTTTAGTGGTGATCACGTTCGCCTAACACAGCATTTACTGTCACTCAAATCCATGAAAGGGGAACTTTTTTCTGAATCCAGTTGAAAATGTCTCATCCCATCTCTCCAGGTCAAAAACGAACACATCGTCCAGAATTTGAAAAGCTTGCATATGAGCAGGCTGGTGCTTCGGCGCGCGAGTCTGCGTGAGAGCTGCCTTTGCCCGTTTCCGTAGTGTAGTGGTCATCACGTTCGCCTAACACGCGAAAGGTCCCCGGTTCGAAACCGGGCGGAAACTGCCACCTTTATTGGTGTTTACACTGAATCAAAAAGCCAACTTCTAAGTAAACCAGGCAAAAATGAAACTGTACGAAATGCTAGAAAACAACAGGAGGAAAAGTAGAGCCCTGTGCCCGCTATAAAATTAACAATGTTATTAAAGCACTCTGGCAACATCTCCAGCCATTGGGGTTTGTCAGCATGCCAGTACCTCTTACAGGCTTTACAGGTGAGCCGTGAAGCCAAAAGATAGTACTGACCACTGGTGCCAATGATTACTCTGGGTCTTCCAACACCAGAAGAAGCTAACTGAGGGTTTGGACAACCATGAAGGCAGGGCAAGACAAAATTATTCCTCACCCTCTCCATGATTGCATGCTCCGGCTTCCAAATGAAGAATGGGTGGAGCCAAGGCCTTTTTAATGCACGGGCTTACCTGGGCTGAAGCCCAGGGGCCTCCCAAGTTCAGGTTCATGATGAGCTGAAAAGGTCATATTGTTTTTTAACTTGTCAGGTTTTCTGTCAATCACTCTAATCACACGTTACATGGCTGCTGATTGATCCAAATTAGGAGTGACCCACATGGCCTCATAGCCTATGGCCTGGGGGTTACCAATCAGAATGTCTATAGTTAGTTTTGGGGTGTGTCCCTCTATGATTGAGTGACATTAAGTGCAAAATGTCGGGGAGGACATTTGAGAGTGGTGCCCAGAAAAGAAAAAAACGTATTAAGAAGGAATTGCGCGAAAAAGATCTTAGAAGTCAACCAAAATAAAACATGAAGAATATCTTGAAGTTAAAAAAAGGGTAAGGTTAATGAAATTGACGAAAGAAAATGCAAATTGGATAAAGAAATCTAATTTATGTTGGGTTTTTTTTAAAGAAGAAAATTTAAAACAGTTAGTAAGTTTTTGTCTCCCCCTTTAAGATTATTATTCAATTTCATAATCCTTTGAAAAAGAATGGAGAAAGAAAACAAAATCATCTTTGGAAGAAGTAAAAGTTTTTTTCCTTTAATAGACTATCCACTACAGTATATGGAGATGCCACTACCCAGTTATTCATTTACCTATATTTCTTTCAAGCAACTTTTTTTGGTTATTTTTGTGTCCTTTTTCCAAAAAAACAAATTTTTTCCCAAGAGGTAGATAGTAAAGCATCTACCTACCTAGCATCCCAAAGCTCACCGGAGTTTTTAAACCAGCTGCTACTGAAGATGGACCCAGCACCGGAGGAAGATCGCTATCCCACACACCGGAGGGAGCGGAGGAGGCGCAGGTGGATGTAGCTGGAGAGGAGCAGGGGACCGCCCTCAGCAATGGAGGGGAGGAGGAGGGGGGAGTGCACCAGCCCCAGAGAGAGGACCACGCCGCAAACCAGTTAGGGGGAGACGAGTCAGATGACCCATATAACAGTGACCAGGGCCGCAGGGGAAACAATATTGACATATTGGGCGGAAATGGGACCGGAGTCCTGTCAAAATAAAGATGCTGACATGTTGGCATCGGAACGCCAATATAAACAGCAGAGAAGATTTTTCTCAAAAATGCATTTCAAACGCAAACTCAGTAATGGAGAGTGTGTGCCCAGAGAATGGCTCTGTTATTCACCATCAGCAGGTAGTAGTGTGTTTTGTTTTGCATGCAAAATGTTTGGCGAGAACAAGGAAAAGTCAGCATTTGTGAGTGGGGGTTATTTTGACTGGAAACATGCTAATGATCGTATAGCAGAACATGAAAGCCGTGACATTCACAGAAAAGCCATGATCACTTACGTCAATCAAGCAGCTGACAGTGGGACAGTGGACTCAGAACTCAAAAACAGTTCAGTGAGGAGTGTGAATACTGGACACAGGTTCTACAGAGAGTTGTTACTGTTGTGAAGTTTTTTTCCACAGGTTTGGAGACACCGACAACGGCAATTATTTGGATTTGATGTTTATGCTCAAGTGGGCTCAGTGATATGTTAATAACAATATTATGGTGTTTTCTGGCTCAAAGAGGGAAAACTCACTGTTGTATGTCTCAAAAGAAACTAATGCATTTTGTGTTGTAGATTACCTAGATATTTCACTTTTTTAAAATGAGACTCTATAAATCGAGGGGATGGGGGGCCTACAAAACCTCTCAGCCCCGGGGCCTAACATTAGGTTAAGGCAGCCCTGTGGAGCTGAAAATATTTGGGCAAGGCAGCTCAGTAATTGAGTCTATCAGCTCAGGCTGAGGTGGATAGTGCCACAGGGAAATCATGATCACTGGGTGACGTACAGGACTTGACCCTGGGCACAGACCCAATGTCTCGAGCTCAGTCTTCATCCATATCTTCTGCTGATGGGAGCAGTTCCACTGTGCAACATCCTGATCATGGCCTGGGACTGGGGCTGCTGGCTGCCTGACAGGAGGAACTAGACATGGTGGAGCTGTAAAACACAAACACATAAAACACTACAGTATAGTACAAGGAAATAAAATCGAGCTCTTTATCAAAGACATGGTTAAACCAGTGTCACAAATTCTTACCTTCATCATGGAAAGTGTCTCCCTGTGCTTCCACAGGGGCAATACTCTGTGGGGATGATGTATCTAGGATGGTGAGATACAAACACATTTAAGTTTGTTATGCTTCGCAATCTGACTTTACTTGTTGTCTTTGCAGCTAACTGGTAGTACAGACTAAACATTTTCATTAAATTGTGAATTGCTGTTTATTTGAAAAGTAAAAACACAAATCTTTTAAGCATCTGAAAACAGGTAAAGCACAGAAACAATATCAGTATATAGTAAGAATATCACTGGTCAATCAAAGATGTGGCACGTGAACCTGTATCTAAGCCTCTGTGGTATTTTACATGCCAAATCCTTGAATGACAGCATAAATAAAGAATGCATATAACACAAAAGACTTACTATCATCATTGACATGTTATTTCCTTTGGTTAGTGGGAGAGCTAGAGAACACAAACATCAGAACAGACCAGAACACAGCCAAAATAACAAACTAGTTGACAGAAAATAGTAACGGCAGGTGAATTCTGTTGTAAACAGAATCCTCTGTCCGCACTAATGAAGAAAAACCTGTTGGTGGAGACACAGCTGCTCTTCCCTGGACTGCTGCTGGTGGTCCTGAAAGCACAGGTGTAGGGGTTACACTACTATGTAATTAGAAAGGTAATTAATCACTGAAGATTAATAATACACTCGTAAATGGGTTAGGGGTTAGGGTTAGGGTTAGAACAAGGGGAAATATGCTTAGGTTAACCCCCACTTTGAGTCAAATGTTTTTAATGATGCGAGTAACAGTACTTGATTGAACAGGTTAAGTCACTAGGTCAATTTTTGCAAAGTCTGATTCTCAAATTAACCCTTTTTTTTAAAATGGCACAACAACAATGAATTTTGTTGAAGAAAATTAACGTGTTCCTCTACTCGCGATTAGGCACTTTTAGGTGCTTTAAGGGTTTTATCCTTATTTTATGACCTAACAGAGACGTTGGCGTCCCTGTCAATTTTCATGGTGGTTTTGTGTGGTTCAACACCTGGACTTTGTTTAGTAAAACCCTTAGTGGCCATTTCACATAGTTGTCGGCTAGTGAGGGTTTCTGGACATGCCATGATACCAAGGTGGTGGCTAGTCGTGGGGTGAAGATTTTGTACAAATAGGGACTTAAAGTGTATTTCTTCCTCCATTTCAGTTTCCTTTTTGGACCCAAAGTAGGCTTCGTGAAGCCTCTGGTAGTACTCGTTAGGGGAGATTCTTGTCTTCCATGTTTGACAGCTAAAGCGGCAGTTAGACCTGTCTTTACTGTGTAGCTTTTGTATTCATCTGTCAGTGCCTTGCTGAGGACTTCAAAGCTTTCTCTGACATGGCGAGGTTGTCGCTCAATGAACTTGCTAACTTTATGACTAGAGGTCCCTCTAATTAGATAGATTCTGTCCTCGGCTGTGGCATCTGGGAATCTCCTCATATAGAACTCTATGTCATTTAGATATGCGCTGGTATCGTTTTTACCACCTGGCTTAGGTTCAAAACGGGTTATGTTTCAAGCGATTTTGTCTAGGTCCCTGAGGAACGGATATTGAACTCTTGACAGAGTATAAGGCTGAGGGGAAGAAGACCTTTTAACTTGGTCATTCGGGTCCCTTTCAGTCCGCAAGTGGGCAGAGGAATCTACGGGTGTCATAGCTCCTAGCTGGAACATGTCTGATTGAGCGTTCCTGTTGAATATGCTCTCTTTCTCTTTTAGTTCGCGCTGGAGATCGTTTAGTTGATCCCTGGCTTCTTTTAGTTCATCTAGCGCGCCCTGGTGAAATTTTCTTTCGTTTTCTTGAGCCCGCTCCCAGACTTTGAGCTTGGACTCTAGGTCATTAATTTGTTCAGTTGCTTTTTCGAGGTAACGGTTAACGCTGTCAGAATATCGGGTTACTTCTTTGAGTTGATATTCTGTTTTGTCTAACTCCCCCCCTTGGGCTTGAAGGACTTGTTTTAGCTCTGAGTTTTCGTCCTCTAGTTTAGCTTGTTTGTCCTCTTGTGCTCTAAGTTGAGATTCAACCTGGCTTATGCGGCTTTGTGCCTTATTTAGGGACTGTTGTGTTTCTGTTAAGGATTTCTTTGTCTCCTCATGTTGCTCCTTGAGGGATTTGTATTTGGTTTTTCGGGTTCCTATTTCAGCTAAAGCGTTCTCTAGCAATTGGTTGCTGCGTTTGTTCAGTTCATACATCACAATAAGCATGCTTCCTAACATTTTCTCTCTGTCTTTTTCTTTCAGAGTTTCAGTTAGAGTCTGGCATACTAATGCAGACATCATCCCAGGTAGTTCACTGGAATTGGTCTTTTGCAATTTTACATCATTTAAGAGATCCTCTGCACTTGCAGCTACAGAAGCCTCGGATGCCATTGTTTTAGTTGAGGGTTCTCAACAACAAACAAAGGAAATTAACAATTAAAATAAAAAGTTTTTAAATTTAATTGTATGCACTTTGTTTTATTTTGTTTATCTTATTTGAACTTTAATTTTGAATTGTTTTCAATTTGAAGTAGAATTTGCTTGGTTAATTAACTTGATGCGTGATACTTTATTCAAAACAGGCGTTTGGATTCCAAAGAACCTGAAAGCTAGTGTTTTAACACAAAAGCTAAAGTATTTGATATAACCATAAAGTTTACTTGGATAGTGGTTAACAGCTTAATTGTTTGACTTGCATGCATGTAGCATATATCAAAATCAAATTCCGAATAATATTATAAGGAATTAATATTTGCAGTTAAATTTGGATTAATCAAAAAAAAATGTTTTATCGAATGTGTAATTTACAACTTAATTGTTTGATTAATCTGTATAATGAGACGCATCAGTTTACAATAGCAGGTTTTGCAGTATCACAGGCTTTTAATGTTACAAATTAACTAATCAATGTGCAGGATTTCAGCCTATTAAAGCTGAATTCTCAAATTCAATTAACCAAGTCAATCAACAGTATTATCGCAATGTATCTATTGTTAACACAGCCAGCCACTAGGGGTGAGGTTACAAATTCAATTTTAATGGTCGAACAGCAGAGAGCACTTTTTCAAATTGGGTGTTTAACCCAAAATTTAGCAACAGGGGTTGCCTATCACAAATCCTTAACCAAGTTGAGCAACAACAGAGGAAGTCAAATGGCGGGACAATTTATTAGCTCCACCCACTGATATACCCCCACTTTTTGACGAGGTTTGGCTCAGTGGTGATTTGACTACTGAAGGGGAGACTTCTAAGCCTGTAAATGTTGCAGCAATAAAATTTCACTTTTCACCACAACAGTAGCTCTTGGGCGCGGCCGCCACAAGAACTTTCTTCATACAAACAGTTTTTCAGTGTTTCAGAAAAACTTTCAACCAGCAACAAGCATTGCACTCATTTACTCACACAGCCTAAACTTGTCTTTGAACAGGTCTGTTATTACAGTAACCTATTTTAATACTACAAGGAGTATTTTTGTAAAACCTCTGGCTGTTTTCACAGTTGGATCCCTTTTTAGTTAACTAGGCTAAATCAGGAGCGCGAGGGTTTGAGAAAATTATTATATCACTGGAATATCGCAGCTGATAGTAATTTTAACTCAAAACGATATCTCAATCCTGGAACGTTGCAGCAAAGGAGATTCGTCAAAATCGATTCAATTTAGAAGTGTACAGTGACACTTCTGCATGCACATAACTCACAAGGGTTGGAGCAGTTATCATATCACTGGAATATCGCAGCTGATATTAATTTTAACTCAAAACAATATCTCAGTCCTGGAATATCGCAGCAAAAGAGATTTGATTAAATTTAGAAGTGTGACACTTCTGCATGTACATAACTTAACATCCGGGCACATCAATTTCATTTTATGCAGTGTGAGCACAGCTCTGCGGAGTTTTATGCTCACACACAGTTTAAGGTATATGCAGTCAAGAATATTCACTCAAGTATTGCACTAATCACTGGGTGGACAGTCAAACAGTATTAAGCAGCTGATTAATACAACTAGTGTTTTGTCTGTACACATCAATTTAATGCAGAAAACCTTGGTTTTAGGTGGACTCACACGGAGAGCACCATAATATTAATGTAGGGGTTACACTACTATGTAATTAGAAAGGTAATTAATCACTGAAGATTAATAATACACTCGTAAATGGGGCACCACCTCCGTTGTTTAGCTACTGGAATAATCCGGAGGAAATTATTCCACAGATCTAATCAAATCAATTTCAAATAAATTTATTAAATTTCAAAATCTATATTTAAGCTCATATTTCTGAAGTAGTGATTTCTTTTACACGATTCATCGATTTCCCCGCATCAAATCAAACCGGCATTGGAAAGGACATACGGTTATATATGTTTATTAACTGAACTAATGCAGAGTAAATAGCATGAAATGACAAATTCAAAAACAATTCAAACAAATGACAACAAGTAACAGAATATGTGGACAATATATGAATTATTACTATTGGGTGATTCAGGAGCGATGGTGGATTTTGCGATGCGGCAGTAAGTTTAAAATATTACGAGAGTAAATTTTAGAACTGAGAGGCCCTAATCGAAAATTATCTTAAACTTAAAAGATGGGAATCAAAGCTTACAGACAGACACCAGCTCTCTTTCATGTGTGTGAATCTGGCCGTGTACCGGAGAGTCAGCCTACTTTGTTTGTAGATGGAACTTGGAAGGATTCCAGGTCCTTGGCTTTTAACTCAACTGCGGCTTTGCGTCACTGATCCAACAGGCTGAGGGAAGTTGCTCCAAAAAATCTCTCCAAAAGGCCCAGCGCGGCGTGTGCGCTAGTGAGCGTTGGGGGCAAGGTGGCTGGAGAATAATGTCTTTGTCCGGCTGGAAACGTTTTTACGTCTTCTTGAGCAGTCAACTACTGCGACGTCCTTCTGGCTGATGATAAATGTCTTAGAGTGGTTGGTCTTCAGCTTTGATTGTAAACTAATTCAGCTTCTTGTTTGAAAATAACTGGAGGATGAAACGCTGGCCTGGCGAATTCTCCGTCGTACCTAAGTCCAAGAATTAGATTAAATTCACTTTCTGTGAATCAGGCGACAATACTCGACGATAAGACTACAAAAATATAAAAGAAGAAATTCGTTTGTGTCTTAAGCTTTCAAAATAAAAGTACTTAGGAAAGTACTTCAGCACAGCAATTTATAACTTGAAGAAAAATTCAACACGTGTTGCAAACAAAGTAAAATAAAGTATGGAAATTAAAAGTAAGAGCGAGAATAAATAACGAGTGGATCCAACACTCTTAGAAGGAAGACAGGATCAGATGAGTGAGAGAGAGCGGGAGTGACCGGAGTCTATATTATATATGTTTTATTCTGAGCCGTATCCGGAAAGGCTAATTGCGTCACTTCCTTTAGCGATATTTCGATATTCGTAACTTTATTAACTTACTTCTATCGTGTTTTAAAGTTTCTAAATCCTAATTCACCATTCACAGAACCCACCATGAATTTATTAATAGTTCACATGTTTTAACATAACATAACTGAAATTACTTAATGTAAAGGAAAAGTAGAACTGATTAAAATCATTAAATCATTAATCATCAAACAAGTATATAAAGCAGCACTGAAGGATTGTACATATTTCGTATAGTGCTAGCTTAATCCTTGTTACAAAAATTATGTGTCAGGCATTTACTATTTGGAATAATACACAATTATGAAACAAAGTTCGTTTTGAAAGAACCTTACGCTATACCAGAATCTTACCAAAAGGTGGCACTGTGGCTCCATCAAATATTCAGACATTTTACACATGATTTTGTAACTTAGTCCAATCTGAAGACAGAAACATCAGACAAACATTACATTTGCGACCTTCTCATGCTGGATGGCAATCTGTTAATTAGGAGAAGATGAAATTTTACCATAATACTCCAACAGAACTAAATCTATATCCGTGCAACTGTTGTTACTGCTTCCTAGATTGGAATGTCCACTATCAAAAGAAAACATCGTAATTTACACTTTAGAGGAAGGGGTGTCAGAATGCCAGATGTGGATTCCAGAGGAGTTTCTCTCTGGAGGTGGACCTGTCAGACTAAAAGAGATGTAAACACATTTCAGGGACATCTAACCCTGATTTACAATCAAAAAGGCACTTAATTATCACACACGATCCACTTTAGGTGTAGGGTGTCGTTCTGATCAGTGGAGAAGTCAGTGTTCTGTTAAAGAGGATAAAACAAATTGACACCCAGAGATCCCATCTGAGAATCTGAAAAGAACCAGGCTCTCTGTGCAGGAGACTGTCGGCGTCACAGTCTCACCCACCCTCCTGGGTCAAAAAGGTCAAAGGGAAAGAAAACTCTCCTGGTGGAACATAATCAAAATAATATGATGATTGTTGAATTAAGAGACTGATAAAGCGTCTCTTGTAGAGGAAGACGAGGACAAGGTCCTACACAGGTGACATTTTATCACGTACAGTAAGAGTTTAAAAAAGTATTTTTATATGTTTCACACTTTATGAAACTAGATCCACCTACTTAGTTCAGTGTCAAATTTAGATGGAGACAGGTTCAACATCTCTCTCTCCAGCTCCTTGTCCTCCTCCATCACTAGGAGATTAAACAAAACATTCATTGTGTGTTAGCTACATTAAATTATCATGAAATCAGTATTTGAATATTGTTGTGAACTGACCTAGAGTGCCTGATGTTGAAGTGGAGGCAGTAGATGTGGTGGAGCCTTCTGCAGGTGGTGGACAGGACTCTGCCCTTTTCAGCTTGAGGATGTACTGCTGCTACAGGTTGTACATCTTGCTGCTGCTCTAAAATGTAGGCAGCATAACCATCCAGGTAGTGGGTTTAACCCAAGTAAACTCAGTTTCCCAACTCTTAACTAAGATAATACTAATCCCCCTTCAGATAGTAGTCAGACAGTATCGATCAATGAGGGGAAGCTGTATTTATATATATATAGATTGAGAGATTTCAGTGTGACACTGTGGAAAATGAAATATGGGGTATAAAATAGAAATATGCTGTAGTATTTACCCATTCAAAATGTACACAGTCAGCTAACTGCCCGAAATATGACTGTAATGTTAGTCAAATGAATGAAAGAATGAACTAATTAACTAATGAACTTGGCAAAAAGCAGGATTTTGTATCAGTGACAGAGAGAAACTGAAGACCTGACAGACAGCTCTTACAGTGTGTACAGTAATATTATTTAGCAGCTGTTATAACATATAACGTTACGTACCAAGTTAATGTACTAACGTAAGCTAATGTTATGTTACATTAGCTAACAGCAACCCGAGTTAGTGTAAACATTACTACATTGTAAATACAGTATGACCATATACAACTGAGAAACGTGAATTTATGAGTTAACAAAATAAGTCGAACTTACAATTGAAAAGTTAACTTGACGACAGATAAAAATAGATCTGTCTCTGAAAAGAAGTGTTTGTAAGCTCCTGTCGATGGTCCGCTGTCTGTCATTCAAAGAAGAAAACAGAGTCTCCTTACTTCAATCGAGGGGGGGAAACAACGTCACCAAAATCCAGCTTGTGGCCAAAAAACATATTACATCCGTAGTGATAAGAACTACGATAGAGAATGAATTGGAAAAGTTAAGGAAGTTAAGGACTACTATTTTCGGCCCTGGCGCAAAAGGTCCCCAGTTCGAAACCGGGCGGAAACTGTCTTCTTCGCTCTTTACTCTGGGTATTGGAATCAAACTCTACTCAGTATCAAAATTAAACTCCACTCAGTATCAAAATCAAACTGTGCACAGTTTCAAAATCAAACTGTACTCAGTCAATTAAGCAGACAGATGCAAGAAGGGGCAAAGTCAAGGTAACCATACCCTCAGCTTGACTTGGTTTCCTGCTCAGTGTGTCAATTGTTCAGTTATTTCTCTGCCTCCTTTAGCGGTAATTGTACCTGTTTTAAGTGTAGTTTATTTACTGCGCTGGAGGCGAGGCTAAGTGAATTAGAAGCACGGCACCACACCACAGAGAAATCTTTAGTCCCCAGTAGTCGGCGCAGGCCAACCCAGTGTAGCTTCTGCTAGCCATCCCCCGGTGGTTCCTGAGCAGCTGGGAAGCCAGGGTGGCTGGGTGGCTGGGTGACTGTCCGGAGGAAGCATAGCCCCAGACAGCAGAAGCCCACGGTTCACCACCAACAGGTTCACATGTCCAATAGATTTTCCCCAGTCAGCGACACACCTGCTGAGAAACCAACTCTGGTTATTGGCAGTTCGATAGTCAGGCATGTGAATTTAGCGAAGCCAGCGACCACAGTTAAATGTATCCCTGGGTCCAGATGTGTGTGTATACAGTGATGACATGTATAGCTGCATGTCGTCATTCCACCGCAGGCTGTCGGGTGGTGTTCAGGAAACAATGTGGGCTTTATTGATAACTGGTGGACCTTCTGGGGAAAACCTGGTGTGATTAGGAGAGATGGCATCCATCCCTCTTTGGATTAAACATCAGGTCTCTGTCTTCTAAAGCTGTTCTAGTTAATGAATTAATATCAGATTATTTACTTTGTCTTACTGAGACCTGGCTGTGCCATGAAGAATATGTAAGCCTAAATGAATCCCCTCCCCCAGTCATATTAATACTCATGTTCCTCTAGGTACCAGCCAAGGAGGTGGAGTAGCAGCTATAGATAATTCAAGCCTTTTAATTAATCCTAAACCTAAACTAAATTATAATTCATTTGAAAGCCTTAGTCTTTCTCCCCCGACCAGGAAAACACTGCAGCCAGTTCTGTTTGTTATAGTGTACCGCAATCCTGGCCCGTACTCTGATTTTCTGTCTGAATTCTCCGAGTTTTTATCAAGTTTAGTCCTTAAAACAGATAAAGTAATTATGCATTTATTGTCTTCCCACAAAATCCTTTTCGATCTTACCATTATTTAATAACTTTTGAATTCCTATTACTAGATTATAAACCATTAGGCAACACTTCCTACAGCAGATGTCTATCTGACAGTGCTGTAGCTGTAATTCAATGCCATTTCTGAATATAACAGAGTCCTATAATAAACGCTCACTGCGAACAACACTAGATTCTATTGCCCCTATAAAAAGGAAAATGTTAAAACATAAGAGGCTACCACCATGGTACAACCACCAAACCCGCCAATTAAAGCAAAAAGTCCGGAAATCTGAAAGGAAATGGCGCTCTTCCAAATTTTTAGAATATTGCTCAATTTGGCAAGATAGTCTTAAAATATATTGGTGCTGTCAGTTAAACCTGTTATTAACGGCATTAACGCAAACCCATTTTAACGGCGTACATTTTTTTATCGCGAAATTAACGTTCTTTTCGGCATAGCACACTTTGTCGTTTTTTTCACATGCTGTTGCAACAACTAGTAACGTTAGAAAAACTACAACACCACACCGGATCTAGCTAGACCAGAAACAAAACAAAAGGCACGCCGCACCCACTTGTTAAAGAGTAGTAGACGTTACGTTCTGAGTGGATGGCGAGCGTGAGACGCCGAAATGGATGCCAATAATATTCTGAATTGAAAGTTTACTTTTAAAAAGTTGCCAAATGGTTCCATTCACAAGACCAACGTGATCTGTGTGTTTTGTTGTTGTGAACTGAGCTATCATCGCAGCACGTCCAGTCTGAAATACCACTTGATGGCCAAGCACACAGTTGATGCGAATTCTCCGCCCCCTCGTCAAAGCCAGGCGACAATGGATGATTTTTCAATAAAAACAACATTTGCACAAAGCAAACCGATCCACTTTTCCATGTTGATAAGAGCATTAAAATGAGAAAAAATAATGGGACAAAAAGAAATCAAGGGACATTTAGAATAGATAAAAATGTGCGATTAATTGCGAGTTAACTATGACATTAATGAGATTAAATATTTTAATCGTTTGACAGCACTAAAATATATAGAAAGGCCCTCCGTAATGCCAGAGGAGCCTATTATTCAGCACTCATAGAAGAAAATAAGAACAACCCCAGGTTCTTCTTCAGCACTGTAGCCAGGCTGACAGAGAGTCACAGCTCTATTGATCCACGTATCCCCATAACCATCAGTAGTAACGACTTTATGAGCTTCTTTTATCATAAAATTATTACTATTAGAGACAAGATTAATTACCAAATGCCCTCAACAGGTATCGCTGTCCCTCCAAGTTCAGGAATTTTAACAAATGTCAAATCAGATATATATTTAGACTGTTGTTCTGCTATCGAGCTGCAACAACTAACTTCAATAATTTCTACATCGAAACCATCAACTTGTCTGTTGGAC